AAAAAGCACTTAATCATTGAATCAGCCATTGTTACATAATGATTTAAGTTGATATCATGAAAACCTGACTTTGCCTTTTTTTGGAAATTTCCCCATAAGAGGTGACAATTATATGGCAGAGGACTTACACTAATTCTGCCCCAAGGCCATACACAGAACCTTTGCTCCAACCTTCGGACCTGGGGGATTATCCAGATAACCCCCTCTCTGCTTCATGGCCAGGCATTATCCTATATAATCACCTTGTTAGCCAGGGTCTTCCCATAAGGCTGATGGGTCTCAAGGCAAAGACAAGAGAGCACTACACGATTGGTCATTCATGACTCATCAACCAACCTCAAATGAGTGATAACTTTCTAGTTCAACAGCAACAGTACGTTCTACTGTTAGTGAGCATACACTAACAGTGGATCATAGTTTGGAGAGCTTCAATGTTGTAATAGATTTCTATCAGTGGTTGTATTTGTACAGTCTTTCTGGAGTCATTTTTGGCAAAAACATGTAAATGCTATGCATGTAATTGCAAGCAGTTTGGTCTGAAAAAAATTAATGTTCTCAAGTTCTTGATATTTGTAACCTTCTCACTACGAAATTTGCTTTTGGGCACCAAACCTGTATTGGTTATGATATCAGGCAGGTGGTTAAATGCAGTTTGCAGTTCTTCTGACTTTGCGATTATAACTATGTTATGGAGTATTTTCTCTTGATTGGCACAAGATGGGAGGAATGTCAACAACAGATGGATTTTAATCAGTTGTTTTTGCTTGGGAACTCCGCTTTCATCTGATGTTAACTCCAGTCTTACATGGGCTAACCTCCAGGCAGGCCTAATCTGCCACTGTTCATAAACCCTAATCCTCGATGTCGGAAATAACATGCTACTCATCGCCTCATCTCGGCATCAAACGAGCATCTGCCGAATGTCAACAAAGCCATTTCCCTTCTTAACATTCTATTCATACGCTCTCTATTTGATGAATCCTAGAAAATTTCATGGAGATTGCTTATTTCAATTCTCATAACATAGCGTGGAGAGGGCAGGGTGGGGAAAGCATTCAGATGTAGGATCTGTGAGTGGAATTAGTGTCATCTCTGAATATAAACAGAAGGATTGGAGTTCCTGGTAAAATACCTGCCCCTGATTTTCTTTAATCACATTCCAGAGGCGTCTCTAAGCACCGGGGATGGTGTCATAAAGTCCCTTCATTCAGGTTAAACAAAATTAATTTGTAAGAAAAGGAGAAAGGATGAAAAGATGTAAAAAATTATAGACAGAGTGTAAGACAAATTTAGTTGGCGTTTATGATTTTAATATAAGGTGTCCATGTATCAAACCAAGATTGACAATTACATCCAACAGAATTAGAAAAATAGATAAAGATCAATTCATAGCAAGAGAGATTTGTGAAAATGGACAAAAAGTCAACAGAATAAACAGACTGACAGTACAAAAATATAAACAACTGTTGACCCAAAAGATATATTCTTTTTGGGCAGTGCCTAATGTAGTTATTTGGATAACGACCAGACAAAAATGTTCATCACGGTTTTCCATATGTACACACCTAGGAACATTTGGCAAACAAATCTACTCCTTTACTGGCATAATCTGTTTTGTCAACAATACAGAAACATGTTATTAGGCAAAAGCAAGTA